CCAACAAAAGTTGGTCCAATAAAAGATATTGCCTCATCCACCTTGTCTGTAATCATTCACTTGAGGCAGAAACTTGGCCACAAGGTTTCAGCTCAGAAGCAATTTTTAGCTGAGTAAGAAGAACAGGAGTACTTGTGGCACCTTAGAGACTAACAAATTTATTTCAGCATAAGCTTTCGTGGGCTACAGCTCACTTCTTCAGATGCATAGAGTGAAACACAGACAGAAAATATTTATACATACAGAGAACATGAAAAGGTGGAAGTACGCATACCAATTGTAAGAGGCCAATCAATTGAGATGAGCTATCAGTAGCAGCAGAAGAAAAAACTTTGAAGTGATAATCAAGATGACCCATAGAAGGTGTGAGGAGAACTTAACATGGGGGGGAAAAAAATTCAATTAGTGTAATGACCCAACCATTCCCAGTCTCTGTTTAGACCTAAGTTAATTGTGTCTAATTTGCATATTAATTTGAGTTCAGCAGTCTCTCTTTGGAGTCTGTTTTTGAAGTTTTTTTGTTGCAAAACTGACACCTTCAAGTCAGTCACTGAGTGATTAGAAACTGATGAATTCTACCATGATTTTAACAATTTCCATCCCACCATCAACCTCAGCCTAGACCAATCCACACAAGCGGTCCATTTCCTAGACACTACTGTGCTAATAAACGATGGTCACATAAACACCACCCTATACCGGAAACCCACTGACCACTATACTTACCTACATGCCTCCAGCTTCCATCCAGGACACACCACACGATCCATTGTCTACAGCCAAGCTCTAAGATACAACCGCACTTGCTCCAATCCCTTGGACAGAGATAAACACCTACAAGATCTCTATCAAGCATTCTTAAAACTACAATACCCACCTGCTGAAGTGAAAAAACAGATTGACAGAGCCAGAAGAGTACCCAGAAGCCACCTACTACAGGACAGGCCCAACAAAGAAAATAACAGAACGCCACTAGCCGCCACCTTCAGCCCCCAACTAAAACCTCTCCAGCGCATCATCAAAGATCTACAACCTATCCTGAAAGATGATCCCTCACTCTCACAGATCTTGGGAGACAGAACAGTCCTCGCTTACAGACAGCCTCCCAACCTTAAGCAAATACTCACCATACACCGCACACCATACAACAGAAACACTAACCCAGGAACCTATCCTTGCAACAAAGCCCGATGCCAGCTCTGTCCACATATCTATTCAAGTGACACCATCATAGGACCTAACCACATCAGCCACACCATCAGGGGCTCATTCACCTGCACATCTACCAACGTGATATATGCCATCATGTGCCAGCAATGCCCCTCTGCCATGTACATTGGCCAAACTGGACAGTCTCTACACAAAAGAATAAATGGACACAAATCTGACATCAGGAATCATAACATTCAAAAACCAGTGGGAGAACACTTCAACCTCTCTAATCACTGAGTGACAGACTTGAAAGTGTCAGTTTTGCAACAAAAAAAAACCTTCAAAAACAGACTCCAAAGAGAGACTGCTGAACTCAAATTAATATGCAAATTAGACACAATTAACTTAGGTCTAAACAGAGACTGGGAATGGTTGGGTCATTACACTAATTGAATTTTTTTTCCCCCCATGTTAAGTTCTCCTCACACCTTCTATGGGTCATCTCGATTATCACTTCAAAGTTTTTTCTTCTGCTGCTACTGATAGCTCATCTCAATTGATTGGCCTCTTACAATTGGTATGCGTACTTCCACCTTTTCATGTTCTCTGTATGTATAAATATCTTCTGTCTGTGTTTCACTCTATGCATCTGAAGAAGTGAGCTGTAGCCCACGAAAGCTTATGCTGAAATAAATTTGTTAGTCTCTAAGGTGCCACAAGTACTCCTGTTCTTTTTGCGGATACAGACTAACACGGCTGTTACTTTGAAACCTGTCATTTTAGCTGAGTGAATTCAGTGTTTGTGAAAGGTGGCAGTTTCATTACACTACAGTCCTTATTTTAATCAATACAGGCACACAGAGACAGTGCAAGATTCTTCACATCGGGAGTGCACCTCAATAGTGACCAGTAGGAGCCACCTCAAGCTGCAACTAGACAGCCTGTTCCAGCTGACTCGGGCTCACAGAGCTTGGCCAGCAGGGCTGTTTCATTGCTGTGTAGCCTTCTTGGCTCAGGCTGCAGCCCAGGTTCTAGGAACCCCTGAGGCAGGAGGGTCCCAGAGCTCAGGCTCCAATGAAACAGCCCTGCAGCCCAAGGCACACAAGCCCAAGCCAGTGGGCACAGCTCAGCCATGGGTTTTTCCTTGCTGTGAGGATAGACTCTGCATTACCTCTCAATAACTACTACCTATGATTTGCCTATTCTTTTAGGCGACTTGAGTTTCCACAGCTGTCAAGTCTAACACCCTTCATAAGCACTAAAAATAAATGATTTTAGTGAATTTAAACTGAAATGTCACAGACAAGAAAATTCATGTGCAAGTAAAAATTCTAAAGATTTTAAACATGGGTTTATTGTACAGGCAAAAAACATATTTTAGAAGGACAGATCAGAAATTAGAAAATGAATTTTCTAATCAACCGTGAGAACTCCAAAGGAGCCATTATAATCCGTCATCTCAACCATATCTGCCAAGATTCAACAAACTGTACAAGTTTCAAAAGATAGCAACATCTCTTGAAAGAGCCTACTAATTTTCACAAGTTAAAAATTATACAAACTAACTTTCTCTTGGTTATTATGCAAAGTGTTCAGCTATAAAAGTCAAACACCGCATGAGTGAAAGCCAGAATGTCATTTCAGATTTTTAGTTTTAACTATGAAATTTCCTTGCTTGCTTTTGTGGGTTAAAGCAAGATCTCCAAGATTACTTTAAACTTAGCTTTTGAACCTCAGCATGATGAGCAGCACTTACAAGATATGATCTAAATAGAAATACCTACTGTGAATCCAGTCAAGGGCAGGTCAGTTTATTCTCAACTGCAGTAATGCTGTAGTAACACATGCAGTTGGGGAGCATGCACATTTGTTTCTCAGACCTCTTCAGTATAGCATTTTTACAAGCTACTGGTAAGAAATATTTTAAGAACAAAATTCTATTAGAACAGCAGTCAGTTGTTCTAGATATCAAAGGCTATGCTACTGTTCCACTGTGCGGACTTGTAGCCCTGAACAAGGTCTGTTCTGCCACCCCCACACCAACTACTACTATCATGCTAGCAGCAAGAGCTTTTCATGTTACTCTTCCTGCTGGATCTGCTCCTCTTGTCTCCATCACAAATGCTCCTCTGGGTATGTCTACACTACAGGATTAATCCGAATTTAGATAATTCGAATTTGGGAAACAGGTTGTATAAATTCGATTGTGCGCGGCCACACTAAGCACCTTAATTCGGTTTTTAACCACATTAATTCGGTGGTGTGCGGCCACACTACCCCATTAACTTAAACACAGTAATTCGGTGGTGTGCGGCCACACTAACCCTAATTCGAATTAACAAAATCGATTTAGGCGCTACTCCGCTCGTCGAGGTGGAGTACAGAAATCGATTTTAAGTGCCCTTTAATTCGAATTAACTGGCTCTGTAGTGTGGACGGGTGAAGGGTTAATTCGGATTAACGCAGCTAAATCCGAATTAAAGTCCTAGTGTAGACCAGGCCTCTGTCTGTAGTAGGTGGAGCACAGTGGGGGCCCGTTGAGATGAGAGCTACCACATCACAGGAGAATGAAGAAAGTTTGTGAAAGGGGGAAAAGAAGAAAATGTGTACTGTTTTTTAACACATGGTAAAACGTAAGCATTATGGGGTATCTGTACACCTTACAAAGTTTAAATTGAGACATTAATTATCTTACTATGACAAAAATGTGCCTTTAATCCAACCAGTCAGTTAGGAATTAGATCAGTTGGGAAGGCCTAGGCAAAAATGGTGCAATCTGTAGCTTTTACTAAAAGTGGCCAGGATTGTTATGTGCATTTTCCCAGGGAGTGAATACAGAGGTGCAAGGCCTCTACCAGAAGTACCGAGGCTGAGATGCATATCAAGTGTTTGACAATTAGGAGATCACAGTTCAAGCTATTGTTTACTGCAGTGAAAGCATATACCTGAGCCAGTGCTCTCTTATCCAGAACGAACAAGGTAAGGGCATTGTTTTTGAATATAAAAGATTGCCTCCGACTGAAACTGATTAACTATAACTAGTCCTGTACATACAGCTCTTGCTCCTGCCACTTAGTTCGCAGAAGAAGGCAGGGCATTTCCTACCACCGGCGGGCGCAGGACAACATAGCCCTTCCCCTCTCTTCCAAAGCCTGTGGGCGGTCAGTGTCGCTCTAATGAACCCGGTGAGTGCAGGATACACCCAGAGCCTCGGCTCCTGTTGGTCTCCCTTCTCAATTGAATGTCCCTGATCCTCCCTAGGTTTGCTCAGAGACATGTCAGTGGGCGCTGCATGCCGCCGCCGCCACCACCCCGGGAGGGGGAGGGGGAAGAAGAGAGCTACACCCACCAAAACCAGCCCCTCTTGGGGCTAGGCTACCGCTACCGCTGCACCGGGGGCTGCACGGGCCCCCTCACCGGTATCGGCCGCCTCGGGGCCGGGCGGGAGGGACTCCCCCTACCCTGCGCCACAGGGTCAAGGCAGGCCCGGGGGCACCAGGCGCCCAGCGGGGCTCGATCCCCGGGGTGGCCGCCATGGCGAAGCCCGCCCCACCCGTGCTCTGCAGCGGGGACGGCTGGGCATGGTGCCCGGGCGTAGGGGCGCTGTGGGGAGCCCAGCTGCCCAGGCCGGCCGCAGCAGCAGCCTCTGCCCGGGGCCGCAGCTCCCCGGTCGGGCCTTCAAACGCCACAGGCCGCAGCCTGGGCACCAGCCGCCGCCCGGCGAAGAGGGGGCCCTGCCAGGAGCAGCCGCCTCCCATGGAGGGGGCTGGGCGGGCCGGGAGACACCCCCTCCCCGTCCCCCCGCACTGGGGGAGACACCGCCCCGCCCCGCCGGAGCGCTCACTCACCCGCATCCTGCCCTGCGGGCTCGGCTCCTCGGCGCGGGGGGCCAGCGAGGACCAGAGCAGCAGCAGCCCCAGGAAGCTGCCCGCCAGCAGCACGGCGCGCAGCAGAAAGCCCAGCTTCAGCCGCATCCTCCCCCGCCGGCCCGAGCTCCGGCGGGCCCCCGGCGCTACGCCCTGATACCGCTTACCACTCCCGCTGCCCCGCAGCCGCCCGCCTCGGCCCCTCCTGAGCTACTCCCTCCCCAGCCCGGAGCCGGGCTCGGCTCCCCCACACCGCTCCCTGCCCGCGCCTGGCGTTGCGCCCCCCGCTCCTGCTGCTACTCGCTCCAGCCGCCTTCTCTCAGCTGCTGCTGCTCCTCTCTTTGGCTCTACCCCGATCCCTGGCTGCTGATCTGCTGCCTTCCCTCCGCCGCCGGCTGCTGCCGCCCCTGCTCAATCCATCACCGTGCTGCAGGCACAAACTTTTTCTCCCCTCCTCTACCCTTTAAACTGCCCCGATTCCTCTGCTGCTTGTCTCGTCTTTTCCCTGCTGAGCTGCACCCAACAGCTCAAATGATCTGAAGCAGGAAGTCACCGCAGCGACAGCTCCACGTGGCTGATTTATAGCGCTGAGGGTTTTTCATATTGACTGCAGGTTGCCTTTTCACACGTCTCCCTAAGGAGGTGGATTTGTACGAGTAAAGCTAGGATGTGGTATGCAAACACCAAGCTGCCGCTCCTAGCTTGGTGAGGTGGAAGAAGGGGTCAGTTCCGGGTTTACGCCTTTAACGTGGCTTGGAAAGAGAGACAGAGTCCACGGGGGTTTGTAATTGGCTTTTTTAAAACTACCATCATACCAGATTCGGACCCTGATTGAACCTCTCATAAAATACTACTTTTACTTTATTTTCCCCTGCATGTTTGTAATTTGATGTATGGGAACTCTGATATGTGCACCTGCCTCGGCACAGGTGAAAACTTTCAAAGAACCAAGTCCAGGTTGTCAGGCCCTAAAAATGATTTAGCATGTGTGTGGCCCTGTCTGGCAAATCTTATTCCTTAAGTATTGAAAAGAATGAATACCTTGTAGATATTTTTAGTTTAAAGAATAAACTATGTTCCCCTACACAGTGCTAGCTGTTGCAGCAATAAGCAAAAGAACTTCCCAACTTTCTGTATAACTAATTTCAGGTCAATACCATGCAAAGTACATGCTTCACTTTAGTCATGTTGAGTAGACCCATTGAAATAGAGTACTCTTTTTGTCCATAGTATTAAACTAGTGTACCAGAAACAAATTGTACACAGTCTGAGCAAATAACAATGGTGTAAATTCAATACAATTCCTGAAGTCACTGAATTTTCTCAAATTTTGGCTTGTATTTCTGACAGCAATCTTAGGCCAGCCTGTCTTTCATTCCACAGTTGCACTCTTCTGATAAAAATGAACTGCACTGAAAGTTAAACATTCTGTTTTTATCTTGTGCAACAGTTGTGAAAAATTAGCGTAGTAGTTCAAGTGCAGTTATCAGGAAAGCAGCCATGTAAAAACAGTTATTTATTTAACAGTTCTGCTTTTGTATATTCAGTCAGTCAGTTTAGTGAGTTTTTTTCAAATTCCTGTTCACACTGCAGGAATTGTCTAGATCCAACAATCCTGAACATTGCCTTTTCAGTGATAAGTTACTTTAGAACAAGATATTGCATATGAATAGGATTCCCCTTGGAAGATTTTTTTTAATAGGAAATGTAGTGCTTTACACACTTGGAAACTGAAGTCTCTGTTAATGCACAAAACTAGTACAGCACTGTTAGTGGCATTAACATTTCCCCCATTCTAATAGCTTGATGCAAAAAACTAAATAGGTTAATGCTGAGTTAAAGGTACAGTTAAAAAAAGACTCCAAACCTGCAATCACCTGCACAAGTGCTTAACTTTGTGTGTGTTTTCCAGTGAGAGTTATATCTAGAGTTTGAAAAGTTTACTGGACACCTACTAGCTAGAGATAAATCTAAAAGACAAGAGTGGAGACCCCCACTGAGGAGCTCATTCTAAATTTGAAGTTCCAGCTCTTGGAAGGGTGAAAGTGGGAGGATATCTTTCTTTGCCTTTCAGATCCCCATGGTGGCTACTGCAAAAAAAGTAGGTCTCCCCTACTGTCTCTTTTCGCCAATGTCCATTTTTTGGGCCCTCTTCTTCTATGACCAACTCTAGTTCCTCCTCTGTTGTAACTCATAGCTTTCTCAAGGAGCAGCAGAAGAAAGAAGTAATTATTTACAGTCTTAGTGCTGCCCACAACAATGTGATTGTAAAACTGACTAGAGTCTTGTAATTTCACTCTGGTGCTGCTTGCTCAGTAACTGAATCATTGAAGCTGTCTGTCAGGAGACTGAGGAAGACACTACTGCATCAGTTCCAGACCCGCCGACAGCAATTGCAGGGCAGAATAGTCAATGTGCCCTCATGCACGCACAAGCTGCGCCCACGCGGACACAGTCCACCTGACATTTGGGCGGTGCTGCACCTGTGCTGGCAGGTGCCCAGCGAGCTGCTTGGTGTGCTCTTCTGGCATGGCCAGGGCTTCCAATGTCCTTGCCAACTAATTGCACAAACCCAAAGACCCTTGCCCCACCCCTTCCCTGAGACCATGCCCCTGTCCAGCCCCCTGCTCACTCCATCCCCCCTCCCTCTGTCGCTCGCTCTCCCCCACCCTCACTTTCACCAGGCTGCAGCAGAGGGTTGGAGTGCAGGGGCTGGGAGGGAGTTTGGGTGTGGGAGGGGGTGTGGGCTGTGGGAGGGGATTTGGGTGCAGGAAGGGGTGAGGGGTGCAGGCTCTAGGCTGGGGCAGGGGATGGGGATTAGGGAGTTGGTGTTTACCTTAGGCGGCTCCCGAAAGTGACTGGCACACCCCTCTGGCAGCGGCTCGTAGGCGGGGCGGGGGAAGCCAGGGGTTCTCTGTGCGCTACTGCCCGCAGGCACTGGCCCTGCAGCTCCCATTGGCCGCAGTTTCTGGCCAATAGGAGCTGTGGAGTCAGCGCTTAGGGCGGGGGCAGCATGCGGCGACACCCCCCGGGCCCACAGGGTCATGCCCGTCGCTTCTGGGAGTGGCACGGCACAAGGGTGGGCAGGAAGCCTGCCTTAGCTCTGCTGCACTGGGCCCTTTTAAATCACCCAAGCACCTGCGTGATTCCTGCCCCCGGTCAGCAGACCTGTTCACTTCTCATTTGTAAGGTCATTGTAACAAGCAATTGTTTTTAAATGAAAGTTTAAATTCTGCAAAAACTGATGAATAAGGCTTCACACACACCCCAGGCAAATGGATTTTTCAAGCCCTGCACCTGATTAGCTAGCCTACAGATTGCCTGAGAACAGCAGTCCCTATGTCAGCCAACGTGGCAGATAACATGCTTTTTTCCTCACAAAGGAATTATGGCTTCATTAGGCTGCTACAAAGCAGCTGCCCCCTAGGAAGCAGTGTGATCTAGTGGATTGGGCACTTGAGCAGGAGTTGGGAAACCCGAGTTCTAGGTCTAGGTCTAGGTCTGGCAGTGCCACTGATCTACTGTGTTACCTTGGGCAAGTCACTTCAATTCTCTATGCTTCTGTTTTTCCTCCTACCTTTGTCTGTTTTCTTTGTTTGGATTGCAAACTCTTCAGGGCAGGGAATGTCATCCACTGTTTATTTGTACAGTGCCCAATAGAACGGGGTTTCTACCTTGATTGGATCGCCTAAGATTCTAAATAATAATGAGCTTAGAAGTGATTTCCAGGTATTTATCATTTTAATTGTATTTTTCCATGCTACCGAAGGCATTACAAACTTTATCTTTTTTTCTACCAGTGAAGCTATGACAATACTAAGGCTATGTCTACACTACAGAGCTTTTAATGACATGGCTGTGTCGCCATAGCTGTGCCGCTAGAAGTCGCACAGTGTAGGCGCTGTTTGTCGGCTCTCCTGCTGACAAAAAAACTTCTACCCCCAATAAGCAGCACTTGCGTGTCGGCAGGAGAGTGCTCCTGCCGACAACGTGCTGTTCAGACTGGCACTTGTTGTGGCAAAACTTTTGCCTTTTGGGGGGCGGAGGAGGTTTAACACCTCTGAAAGACAAAAGTTTTGTTGTTCACTTGCCAGTGTAGATGTAGCCTAAGAAGTTACAGATAGTGACTTACCCTCCTTGACATATTGCATAAACTTCAAGGGCCAGTCCCATTGTCCTTATTCAGAGAAGAGTCCTAGTGAATTTAGTTAGGAAACAAACTTCCTTGTCAACATATCTCAGCCTAGGTAAGCCACATCCAGTATTTCTATGCAATCATTTTTAAGAAGGCAGCCAAAATCTTCCTTTTCTTTTTTGAGCATTGATACATGTCTACTAAGCATTGTATTAAGATCACCAATTCATTTCACATAGGCCTCCAAATAGCTGTCAGATAGTATTATTTTTAGTCATTACTAGCCTATGCTGTACTTGAACCAATGACCTACAGTGACCTAAAGGTGAAGTATCCTATTACCAATCCTTTAAGCCACTCTGTTACCTTCTTTCTAAGGACTAGAGGGGATGGTATCTGCACCAGGGCTGCTAGAAAATGTCAGTCTCATGCATTTTGCTAGAATCTGACAAACCAATATTTGGATACACTTGTTAACCGTGTTAGTCTGTACAGACTAACACGGCTACCACTACCACTCTGAAACTTGTTAACTGTTGTCCTGAATACATATTTTCCCTGCCATAAAGCACTTTAGATTTACATTACCACAATTATTGAAAGAAGCTTTTAATGAAGTTTAATGACCATAAAAACAAAATACCTAGTCTACTAATAAGATGTAAACATAAGGTGCTTTAAAAGCTTCCCTGTACGTAAAATTGCAAAGGTGCCTAACTGTGATCCTCTTTTCAGAGGGACTGATGGGTTTTTTTGTTTACAGCCTTTCATGCTTGACCAGTGCTTATGATTGTACCAGGACTTGTTTAATCTCCTAGTAGTTTTAGGTCCATTTTTTTTATTTATTATATATTAAAGCTGCCGTTTTAATTCAGCACAGGTCAAAACCAAGTCCCCCCCCCTCCCCTTCCCCCCAGCACATCACTTCAAAACAGCAATGAATTGTAGGAATTCATCAGAATAATTTTATCTTGAGCACAACATTATGCCTAGGAATTTTTTAAATTCAGTTGCCAGAAGTTTCATTTTGTCTGATATTTCACTATGTGAAATACTGGGGCTTTAGTATATATGCAACCTTGGAGTTGATGTCTTTTTAAAAGAAAAGTTGGCAAATGTCAACTAGTAGACACTGACTTACTTATTTAAATATCCTGTATACTGATTTTTTTCCCTATTACTTCATTGTTTCCTGAAATAAGATTTATAAACGTTTTAGCACTTTAGTAAGTGAACTGAAAGTTTATCTAGCTTCATTTTAACTCTGATATCAATACTGCTAACTTTTGTTGAAATAACATTCTAATTTACACTTCAATAGCACCTTCTACCTGAGGAGTTCAAAGTACTTTATACAAGTTAAATCTCCCATGTAGAAG